GAAGAAGAAGAAGAAGAAGAAGAAGAAGAAGAAGAAGAAGAAGAAGAAGAAGAAGAAGAAAGAAAGAAAGAAAGAAAGAAAGAAAGAAAGAAAGAAAGAAAGAAAAGAAGGAGGAAAAGGAAATGATTCCTGTTGTTGTTGTTGTTGTTGTTGTTGTTGTTGTTGTTTTAATGTATTTGGTTCAGGTCTCACTACACAGCTCAGACTTGTAGTGATCCTTCTGTTTTCAGCCTCCCCAGTGCTGGAATTACAGTTCCCTGTGGCTGGCTCAGCATGCCCTGGGGATGGGGCCAATATGGCATATGGTGCTGGGGATCAAACCCCGGTCCCTGTGCTTGCCTAAGCAGGCACTTAGTCTGCCAAGGTATCTCGCCACACCCCACTCCATTGTTGTTTTATGCCAGTTCCATTTTTAAAGGTGTGGCTGTGTGTGTGTTACTGGGAATTGAACATAGGACTTTGTACATGTTAGAGAAGTACTCTACCACTGAACCCTTATAAAAACTTCTTATTGGTTAAATTCACATATATTGTATGTATACACAATAGAGTTTTACACATATAATAAACATACATGTGGGGCCAGGGAGATAGCTCAGTAGAATAAGCGCTTGCCTGGCAAGTGCAAGAACCTGAGTTCAATCCCCGTTTCCGCAAAAAATAAAATAAAATAAAATAAAATAAAATAAACGTACATGTATCCAACAACAATATCACATCTATACCTCCATTTCTTCAGATTATTTTATAGCAGATCCCAGATAAGTCTATCATTTCATTCATAAATACTCCAATATAAACATTACCTTTTGCGTTTCCATTTCCATTACAATTGGACAGTGAGGCCAGCCAAATAGCTCAGCGGAGTAAAGCGCCTGCAAGAAGGCACAGGGCCCGGGGGTTCAATCCACAGACCTGCTGTGCCGCCCCCCCCCCACCCCCCAGGAGTGCTGAGTCAGCCACAGGGACCTGCAATTCCAGCACTGGGGAGGCTGTGAACAGGCGGGTCACTAGGACTCTGATCTAGTAGTGAGACCCTGAACACCCTGTAGACCCTTCCCTTCAAATACAGGAAAAAAAATCTGTACAATTGGACAGTGATTTTCATCTATGTCTCTACTACTGGGAACACATGACATTATTTCTGAGCACCTACGAGTGCTAAACCTTCTTTTCGGTTCTGCAGTTCCTTTTCCTACAGTGAGGTAGAACAGTACCAAACTATGATGTTCCAAACCGAGTTTGCTAGAGTTTCAGGGAGTGAGCACAGGGTGCACGTGGGAGTTTAGAATCAGGACTTGAATTGCGCTATCTGAACTGAGCAGAACCTGCTAGCTCACGGTGACCCTGAATTTGAATCTCCAGTAGGAGGCGCTGCCAAAATGAGGCGGGATAGAGTGAGGTGCGCGGCTTGTTTTCAGTAGCGTCAGGAACCTGGGAAAAGTCAGCCTTCGCCGAGGGTGAAAACTGCAAGAAACAACGCTGTTTAATAGGTAACAGGGACACCGAGTGCCAGGGCCCAGGGCAGTACTGAAGTTGAGGTACAGGGGTTTGGGGTAGGCCCCTGCACCTGCTCCAAAGGACCTCTCCATTCTGCCAAACCCCTTGGGTTGTAGCTTGTTCCAGCCCCAGCTGTCACTCTTCCTGATGGAATATGTAAAAGCAGGGTACAGGACAGGGCGAGGAAACACCTGTTTCTAACCAGAAGAGAGGTGGGAGGAAACCCTACCAGGCAGCCAGTGGCCTCTTTTCGAGCTTACTCTCGAGAGTCTTGTAAAAGCGCGCCCAGAAAGCCAGCAGAGATCAGTTTTCAAAAAAAGATCGCTTTCTATTTCTAACTCCTCCCTCCTTTTTCTAAGCTGTAACGTCCTTGGGGGGTTGGGGGGGGGAATAAAGTCTTCTTTCCTTCGTTGGATTTCCTGCTCCTCCCAGACCCCTCAAATCCCCCGCCTTGCTGTTTGCAGACACCACCACGACCCCAAGCCTACATTTGCCACGGCATTCGCTTCCGGATTTTTCACTTTTCAGCCCCCTTGCCAACCTACAGGTGGGGAGTCTGACTATGGGGCAGTGGAACAAAGGAAACAGAGTCCCTGTCCCGAGCCAGGCGCCTCCTCCCACCAGCAGAGGAGAGGGGCTCTGGCGCACATGAAATCCCCAAGCCGCGGTTTCAAGGCACTTCCCAAAGGCGAGCAACCTGAGAATGCATAGAAGATAGGGACAGCCCCAGAGCAGCAGACGGACAGACACACGGATTCCCACGAACAGGCCTGAGTGGCCGTGGGCTCCAAAGGCCTCTACGCACTGGGCTCCGTTATTTCATCGGCAGTTACAGAAAAACCTGCCAAAAGCAGTTATGCTTCACTGCAATGTGTAGCTTTTTCCTGCCATTTTTTTTTTTCATAATAAAACAGGGAGTGAAGCTCGCTGGCTCTCTCCCCCCTCCCCCTCCAAAAAGAGCCAAGTGGATACGGGAAGAAAGACACACGCGCGCGCACACACACACACACACACACACACCAATCTCTGAGGGGATGCCAGTGAGGTGTGGCTTGTATTTAAATATCCAATATGTCAATGTAAGGGGAGTGGGTATGTATATAAAGTGCCGTTTGCATTTGATAGCTCAAGGAAGCTAACGATGAGAGAGTCCAGGAGAGATGGATGCGAGAAGAAGCAGCGCTTTGACTGAGAGTAAGGTCAGGAGCGCGCTGCCCAACGCTCTCCGCCACTGAGAACTTCCTTGGACACGAACAGACGTCGCCTCAGCTGGGCAGAGCGCGGAGCAAAGGAGCGGAGCGAGCGAGCGCCACCGAATCACCCGCGCCCGCCGCCAGAAGAGGTAGTTCGCGCCCCGCGGTCCAGGCACAGCCCGCGCCGCCGTCCGCCCCGCCATGGCGGAGGTGGGGGGGGTCTTCGCCTCCTTGGACTGGGATCTGCACGGCTTCTCCTCGTCTCTGGGGAACGTGCCCTTAGCTGACTCTCCGGGTTTCCTGAACGAGCGCCTAGGCCAGATAGAGGGGAAGCTACAGCGCGGCTCGCCCACGGACTTCGCCCACCTGAAGGGGATTCTGCGGCGGCGCCAGCTCTACTGCAGAACTGGCTTTCACCTGGAGATTTTCCCCAACGGCACGGTGCATGGCACCCGCCACGACCACAGCCGCTTTGGTGAGGACCCGGCCCCCGGCCGGAAGGGACGGGAGATGGGCGGACAAGTAGTTGGGTTCCGGCGTGGGGTTCGCCGACCACCCCCAAGAAACTTGGAGCGGTCTTGGCCCATCGAGGCAGGACGCGACGGCGCGTACCAGAGTTTCGGAGCCTCCCGGAGCCCCTTGCCCTCCGATTCTCTCCGAAGGGGGCGGAGGCCCCATACGTTGTGGCTTCTCAGTTACCTACCCCACCCTCCCACAATCAGGAGCCAGGGGCTGTTCTGGGAACTGGGCACTGAGCCTCTGAGCAAAGCAGGTGGAGCTGGGAGAGAAAGGAGTTGGAGCCCTCGCCTAGGAGACGGGACGGTAGCTGCTGTGTGGGCCAAGTCTCAAGGCCACCAGACTCCAGGAGGCTCATTGCCTGGAGCGGGAGCCGGCTTGAGCCATGGGTGTGGTGGGCAGGCAGCCCCGCATTGGAATCTCTGTTAACGGGCAGAAACCGGGCACCGCACCAGTGGCACCTGTCTGCCCCGAGGTTGCTCTACCCAGGGTAGGAGCCAATCCAGGCAGCTCAACATGAGTAGGGTACCAGGGAATCTAGGAAACCTTGAGGTGTCCACTTTGGAGAGGGTACAAGTCCTGACCTCTGCACTTCTTGCCTCAGTAAGAAAAGCATCCTGAGCCCACTCCTCACTCCCAAAGCAAGTGTTGCCCAGGACAGGAAATGTCTAGGGTTTTGTGGGATGGGAATCAAACTCAGGACCTTGCACTTGCCACACAGGTGCTTGTGCTGCTGAGCTACATCAGCGGCCTAGGAAACATCTAATCTACATCCAGGATTGTAATCTGCCTGCCTGCCACTATGTAGATTGTTCAAAGGACTCAGTTGCCTGTCTCACATACAGAACTAATTGCACAATTAATATAAGCTTTGATCTGCAACAAAGATTATTAGGTTTCCAAGCAAATGTGCTCCCTCCTCCATAATCTGCCATTTTTAGTTTCAATTTCCTATTTTCAATTAAACCATCACACAGGTGCTTTAACAGCTACCTCTCCCAGCCTTCAGTATTTTCTGCTTCCTTCCAAGGTCTCTGTATTCCAAGGGCACCTCTACTTCTAAACCAATAAGAGGCTCTTATACCATCGAGGATGACAGCTCCGTTTTTGCCACCTACTTCTACTCTCCAAACTCCCCCATCCTCCTGTTCTCCATGTCTTGCTAGAGCTGCAGCTGCTATGCATGGGAGAAGGGCAGCTAGTTTCTGGCTGAGGCCAATCTAGCAAACAACTGAGAGCCAGGGTTAGTCTTCCTTGCTGGGAGCACGCAAGAACTCTAATGAGGCCTATGTCATCTTGGAAAAATGCACTCAAAGAGAGCTGGAGTACAGTAGGCTGGGACGGTAATAGAGGGGTGCAGGTGTCTGCATAAACTTGCAGCAGGTTCTCAAAAGGGTGATAAGGTGGGGTTAGAGGAGTGTTCACTTGGCTCCTTTCCCTTCCATTGCTTGTGACTTTGAAGTCTCTTTTGTTCCTCTTTGTAAGGAATGGGCTTCCCATACTGGCTTCAGAGATTCCCAGAAATCGAAGTAATAGAATAGCTGACATAGAAAAGAAAAAGATATATAGATAGAGATCGATATCATACATGTGTATATGTCATAAGATGATGGAGAAATGTAGGAGGCAACAAAAGTGGAGGAACAATGAGCGCAGCTCCAGCTGCTCCAAGCGTTTGGCTGTGCCTGAGTCAAGCCCAGTAACCCACAAGGTCAACATAAATCAGTAATAGGCTCTTGGGATAAGTGGCCTTTAATTCCTCCCTAAAGATACATCTTGATTTCTTTTCATGTCCCAGGCCTGCTAAGGGTGTTGGATTTAGGAAGAAATGAGAGGAAATAAATCCGGCAGAGGAGAGGATGTTTTTGCTGCTGTTTAACTGACTGCTTCATTTTGGGTTTTACCTTTAAAAAAAAAAAAACACATTGTCTGAGACCACCTCTGCATCACCTTTTCCCTGTGCTCCTTCCATGGCTTTCTGGCAGTTCCATGCATTTTCTGTTAAGGAAATGATAACCGGTCAAAGCTGTCTGTAGCCTCCCCTGCCAACTTCCAAACACACACTTTCTCAGTTTAGTTTTTGGCACAGAAAGAGGTGGCGTTTGAGTTTGCTAATTTTCTTCTCCCTCCACATTTAAGTTAATCAGCCAGGGTATTCAATAAATCGAAACTTTAACATTCCATAAGTGCTTTAGCAGTCAACATTCCAGCAGGGTAAAGTAGGCCAGAGTTAAGATATAAAATATTATAGATTTCTACTTGGGGGGAGGAGGTAGTCTCCAAAGGCCATGTAAAGTAAATAGCTATTTGTTGTAATTGGAGAGCAGGGCCCCCAAGGATTACCCTGGAATCCATGTGTTCAGAACTAGTCAGGCTGAGCCCAAGAGCAGCCTTGACTCCAAATAATAACCTGTTGGCACAGCATGTGCTCCCTGCTCTCCATCTGCAATCAGTAGCCAGAAATATTTCAGTCCCCACCTGGATGGTGGCATTACATGAGGTTCACAGGGATTCTGACATTCCTGAGGGGCACCTGTGGACTGGCAGAACAGAGCTGGGGAGCCAGACTTGAGGAGAGGCTTCCTGCCAGGTGGGATGGAGCAGGCTCAAGCAGCTGCTTTGGTTTTTGAGTGAGCCGGTTCTTATTTGGCAAGATGCCAAGGCAGCACTGTCACAGCCCTCAAAGTCTGAAAGAATGGCTGAGGGAGTTCAGGCAAGTCATAGAACCAGATTAAATGACACATTAGCTAGTCATCTAGCTAGCATCTGGGACCCGGGACAGATCAATTTTGACTGAGGCCGCAGGGGAGAAAGGTGTAATGTGAAGAGTCTGGAAGTTGTTGAGAAAAGGCCAGCCCTTCAAGTTGACAGGTCAAGATGAAGCAGGATAAAGGGAAGTCTCGGGCCCTGAAGGGGGGAAAATACTGAGTACCAACTTTGTCTACTCAATACTATGCCTCAACACTTTGCTGTTAACACCCCTGTCCAGCTGTAGCTGGGAAAATATGAAAATGGCTTGTTTTCTCTCCCCTTTCATGCTGGCTTGGGTTCAGGAGAAGGTCTAGAAATATCTGTTCCATCATCATGTGCCACTGGGTTCCCACAGTCTGAATCCAGCTAATAGGAAAGTTGGCAAAGGGAAACGATGCTCAAAGACAGCTGGACAGGGATGATTCCAGCTGTTGGAGACCCTTGTTACTGGACACAACCCAAGTGACTTCCTGTATGATCTGTCCTTTGGCATCAGGGTTAACAGCGAGTTGGAGAAAAACTGCAGTGACTTAAATGGCCACACCTCTTGGGTTTCATGATTTGTTCTCACACCAGGTCTTGGGCAGTGAGATCACAAGCTGCCCCTCTGCTAATGTGCTCAGGGTAGTCAGAGACATGAGATACTTAAAGAATGTGCAAACTAAAACTTGAAGCTCAGAAGTAATCTGCCTGAGCAAAGCAAAGAACTGAAGGCTCCAGTGGGTTGGTGTCACTCCAGAGTTTAGCATCCAGAACTGAATCATGGACTGACTTCTAATTTTTGTGCTACGCTGGCCACTCTGAACATGCTCCTGTTTTTCCAGATTCTTCTCTAAATATATTAGAACTAAACACGGTACTCTCAGTGTGCTCTAGCTAAGGCAGTCCTCCCCTTTAGCTAGTCACTAGACCTGTCTCAGTGCTAGATCACACTAGCTTCCCCCCAGATTTTACATGGTACTGGGGATTGAACACAGCAATACTTTATTATAAAGATACATCCCCACCCCTTTTAACATTTTATTTCTAGATAGGGCCTCACTAAATTTTTCCAGGCTGACCTCAAACTTGCAATCCTGCTGCCTCAGCCTCCCAAGTAGCTGGAATTGCAGGTGTGTACCATGCTTGCCATTTTTATATTACCTTTTAAAAGGTTTTTAATTTTTATATGACCAGTTTTACATTGGCCTTACTTATAAGTCCTTAAGTCACTGTTGTGCATATTTTGCTGAGCCACATCTAACGATTGCAGAGATGGACAGACTTGCATATAATTAATATGTTTATAGCTTGCTTGAGAGACCCTGGGTTCAATCTCCAGCACCCCCCCCATATTATGCCAAAATGTAAAATAACGGTATACACTTTCAAGAGAACATTCATGGTTACCTGAAGAGGGAAGATGAATGAGAACAGGGTATAAAAGGAAATGTAACTGACAAGCCAGTTATGGTCATAGGTCATGAACTAAGGTATATGGTTAGGTCAGCTGTACTTGAGGCTCAGCTTCCCACAATAAACACCTCAAATACAAGCACTTTGGGAAACTGGTTTGGGGGACAAAAGTGCAGGACTTTATACTGATTTTCCTTAAGCTTATTTTGTTAAAGCCAGCCCATTTTTCTATCCTTTTGAAATCTCTTTGGATCCTGATTATGTTATTTTTCTCAACTGTATCTCTTCTGAACCAGGGTAAGTGGTCTTTTACGGAATTGGTTTTCAATATGTTAAACAGGACAGAGCATTGTGAAGTACAATGAAGATTTGAGTCCACTACATCAGTGTTTGAGCAACCCCTGTTTGGCATGAGCTATTTGCCCTTGTCTTCTATTGTGTGTCAATCTTTTTTTCCCAGGACTCCTTACTGTAGAGTAACTACAGACTGAGAATAAAATTCAGAGGACTTCAACACAAGAGACCAAAAGCCAAACCCTAAGTATTCCAGAGACTGGGAGCAGAAGACCCTTATATATTTCAACTAGATCTAGGTCAGAGTAGAAACATGTCCCCCTAAAGCTGCCATGCCTACACCTTCTACTCACCAGCTTGTCATTAGAGCTCCACAGACTTCCCACTGGAGTTTTGAACCTTATTTTAAAGTTAACCACTTAAAATTTTTCATCTTTATGAAATAAATTCTACCTCCGATGTAGAGTGCATAGAACATTGTTATCCTTGAGAGTTTCATCTTTTAGCTTGATGTGGTGGTGCATGCCTGTAATCAGTACCCAGGAGGCTGAGGCAAGAGAATCACCAGAAGTTTGAGGCCAGTCTGGGCTGCATAGTGACACCCTGTCTCAAAAACAAAAACAAAAAACAAAAAAACCTTTTCTTGTTTCGACTGTGTGATCACTGTGATTAGCAATTGCACTATCCAGCTATTTACTCTGGAGTCCTTTCCTATTTTTATCACTCTCTTCTGTTAAGGGGCATCCTGATCTTTGAGAATTCCTCAACCTATAGGTTACTTACCACCTTTCTCCTACTTCCTAATTAAAGCTTTTCTGGTTCTAAAAAAGAATTGCATTATTTGAGCTGAGCATGGCTATACTCTTAGATACTTGGGAGACTGTGGCAGGGGAATCATAAGTTACAGCTCAGCTTGTGCAACTTAGCAAGACTGTCTCAGCGTGGAACTCAGTGTGAAGTCCCTGGGTTCAATTCCTAGTAATTGAAAACCATACATTTCTTTGAGAATACAAATGAATTCATTTCACATCTTCAGATGCTTCAGACAATCATACCAAGTTTTTGTTCTGTATGTTGAAAAATATAGTTAAAGATAAGAATATCCTAAAGAATCTAGTTGATTATTATTACATCTATGTCGGGATAATAGATACACTATATTATGACAAAAGTATAAAGTCTTCAGTGTCACCAAGATATTATTTATCCTCTTTGTGGTTGATGTATTTCTCTTCTTCATGTGGGATAAATCAAAATACTTAAAAACCTTTGCCTCTGACCTTGTCAGCCAGAAGGAAATTTCTGAATTTCTTTTCTTTTCCCTAAATTTCACAATGTCTCAAGTCAATATGGAGTCCAATACTACCTGCCAACTGTTTGCCATGGATAAACTTAAAGTTCTCAAGAGATAAGATGAGTAACAAACTCAGCAGTATGCTAGCTGAGAGCATTTTATATGAGAAAGCGCTCAAGAAGCCAAGTTTTGCTTCCTGCCATAAGCACGGGAAACAAATTCAGTGACCTGTGTGGCCTTTGTTAGAGTCAGCTTCAGGCAGTTGACAGCTTCATGTGGCTTTAAGGACATGAGAGCTGAGAGAGTGCAAAACAATTTCAGCCTAGAGAACAGCAAGTACTCTGAGCAGGAGGGAAATGACATTGGAAACGATACAGAAGCCTGTCCTCTTTCTCACACTAAGAAAACTGCTCTCCCCCGTTTCTTGAAATGGGTGGGTGGTATTTGGCAACAATAGCACCTTATAATTATGGACTTTTATAGCAAAAGCCTTTTCATAGTCTCTTTCCCATAATCTGGCCAATCAGGCTGAAGGTATACTGCATAATATGCCCAAATCAGAACCCCTGCCTAGGGTTCTCAAGACCCAAGGTCTGCCTCACCTCCCCTATTGAGGCTTGAACCCAGGACCTTCCACATACTGGACAAGTGCCCCGCCACTGAGCCAAATAGATAGCCTCAGAAGAGCTTTCTTTTGGCTTGATGCTAGTAATAGAATGCTATTCACTTTTGTCCTTTAGGAATTCTGGAGTTTATCAGCCTAGCTGTGGGGCTAATCAGCATCCGAGGTGTGGACTCTGGCCTATACCTAGGAATGAATGAGAGAGGAGAACTATATGGATCGGTAAGTTTCAGGGGTTTTTCCACCCCTCAGAGGTTTTAGAACCAGAATTTTTTTCTGTATTTTAGGGATTGGTCTACAGGGTGTTCAGGGTCTCACTACTAGGTCAGACTCATAATGATTCTCCTGTTTACAGCCTCCCAAGTGCTGGGATTACAGGCACACACCACCATGCCCAGTCTCAATTGCCATTTCAGCTCACGCCAGGGGCGGGGCTGGCATGGCAGACCCAGGGATCGAACCCTGGCCCCTGCGCCTGCTTGCAGGCACTTTAATCCGCTGAACTATTTGGCTGGCCCTAGAACCAGAATTTAGACAATATTAGGCAAAAAGATACAAAGTATATCTAGCACTTGAAAGCACTTTTGTCAGTGATAAAGAATTGACATTTTCATTTTTTTTTTGGCGGAACCGGGGATTGAACTCAGGCCCTTGCCAGGCAAGTGCTTATTCTACTGAGCCATCTCCCCAGCCCCTGAATTAGCATCTTCTGGTTACTTCTTGGCTTCCCAGAGCCTTGTTCTATAACATCTTTACTTCTGTCGCCACAATCAAAGCATAAGCTTTTCTGCAATACATTTACTTTTACCTTGTCCATTAGTGGGCCAAGAAGTCTGATGATAACAGTAGATAATTGTGGGGATCCATCCCTGGCACCACACGCTGCACTGGCCCTGCCCCCAGGTGTGCTGAGCTGGCCACTGAGACCAGGCATGGTGGCACATGCCTGTAATCCCAGTGCTGGGGAGGCTGAAAACAGGAGGATCACTACGAGTCAGAGCTGTGTAGTAAGACCATGTACCAAATACATTTTTTTAAAAATCACAGTAGATAGTTGTGCTGGTTTCTCAGTAGATGGTCAGGGTTTGGGGTATTAACCCTCCAAGAGAGTACATCTCAATTTTAATGAGTACCCAGTGAAGGAGCATAAAAATAGGCAGTCTAAGAGCTAGCCTTCAAATTGTAGAATCTGCGGTTAACAACATAGTCCCTGATTTCTAGATTGCTTTAATTGAATCCCAAAGGCCAAATGAAACAAATAAATGAAGAATGAGGGTTCCAGGGTCTGGTGACAGCCCTAAGCCCCTAACTAGGCCTAAGCTGGCTGCATTGCATTTTCTCTGTTCTGGAAGGTAGCCCAGCACTGGGGGATGGTGACTTTTCTGACCTTAACCCTTTGAAGAGATCCCAACTCCTGGCTCAAACTTTTGAGTCACATTGCATACTTTCTGGCTGCCTATACCCCATTAAATCAGAACACATTTTTCCCTGACACCTACGAGATAGGCTTGTCCCCAGCACTCAGTATTGGCAACTCCTGCAAGTAGTATGGTGGCTGGATCAAGTGTGAGAAGGGACAAAGACAAGAGGCCCACGAGCTGCCAGCTTGAAGTAGCCAGATTGGAGGAGTTTTTCAAGATCTTTTCTGTGCTTTCCAACTGACAGGCCTGGGACCCTTCATTAGGAAAGATCACAGCTCACCTCCAATAGAGCTTTATATAGATCCAAGGCCCTGCCTATTAGTGGATGTGGTGGACTGTAATCTCAGTGGATTTGAACACTAGTAACATTACATAGGTAGAAAGCTCATTAAGTACCAGCAGAGTATTGGAAACCATAACAGAAATTCTTGGGCTCAAAGAGCCACCTGAACCCATCTCCTCCAATATCTTCCCTTCAGGAAAGATCTCACCCGAGACATTTTGCATGGCTCATTGAAGAGGATGAGAGAGAGAGAGAGAGAGAGAGAGAGAGAGAGACAGACAGACAGACAGACAGACAGACAGACAGACAGACAAGTGTTTTGTTCTGTTTGGAAGAATGATACCTTAGTCATCTCTCTAAGTATGGGGAAACAGGACTGAAATTTTCTAATGTCAATGTGCTATTGCAAGTTTAGAATTTCTCCATCAACAAGCTGAGATGGCAGAAAAAGTCATATAATGGGTCCTGTTTTATTTTCTTCTCCTTGCAGAAAAAACTCACACGTGAATGTGTTTTCCGGGAACAGTTTGAAGAGAATTGGTACAACACCTATGCCTCCACCTTATACAAACACATGGACTCAGAAAGACACTATTATGTGGCCCTGAATAAAGATGGCTCACCCCGGGAGGGATACAGGACTAAACGACACCAGAAATTCACTCACTTTTTACCCAGGCCAGTAGATCCTTCCAAATTGCCTTCCATGTCCAGAGACCTCTTCCGCTATAGGTAATGTACCTCCAGTGTGACCTCTGTGACCCATGTGCTCTGGGGCCACAGTTGTCTCTGTAAGCACTATACTCATAGCTTTTCAATCCTTCCTTCCTATCAGTTTAGATAACACAGAAGCACTTACTGTTCAACTTGACCCTGCTGGTCCCTTGTTCAAAGTGTATATCAAGGTTGGGCTATTTTGGGGAGGGATGGGGGAGGAGGGAGTGGGCCCAAGGGAGTCTTGTATATACTTTTTTTATGCATATCTTTTCCCTGGAGGTGGCACAAAAGAGAATGGGGGCTTCTGCCAAGGCTAGGGGTGTCTTGCCCAATAGTCTACCCAAAGAACATTTGACAGTGGGTGCAAATGAAAGACCAAGGAATCTGCTATACCTGCAACTTACAGATCTTTGGGAAAGTATCATTAAGAAAATATTTGGGGCTTCAGCCCTGCTGCAAGCCATCCCCACATTGGCTCTGCAGGTTTCTCATTCGTCCTGACATGCAGTTTTCCTGCCATTGGAAGTGGAAGATGGGGGTGGGTTATTAAAAAAAAGGATATAAAATGTAAGCATGAATACTGTGCATAAGGACAAACTATTTATGAAGTGTATATGCTATTTATTTTATATATTTATTTATTTCAAAATAATTTTATTTTTAATGAGAGATGCTATGACTGGATTTTCATCAGAAAGAATAAGGTCCTACTGAAACAGGAAAAATGAGTTATTAAAGGCTTTTATTGGCAATAAAATTGTCTTTATATTGTAAATAACTGTCTAAGATGTTGATTTGTACATTTAGTAGAATTAGAGCATTGATCAGTTTCTTTCTTCTTCTTCTTTTTTTTTTTTTTTGCAGAACCAGGGATTGAACTCAGGCCCTTACACTTGCCAGGCAAGTGCTTATTCTACTGAGCCATCTCCTTGGCCCCTCATTAGAATTTCTTGATGTCAGTATCACACTGCCTAAGCTAGATGACTCATCATTCAGTGTGTTAGCATTATTGAAGGTCTTTCCAAAGTCTTGGTACAGAAGGATCTGGAGTTTTATATGTTGTGACTTTAAACTTAGTGAATTAAAAGTTCCAGAAGTTCTGGACCAGTTATTCTTACTGAAGTTCCCATTTGTGCTTAGAACTAGACATAGAGAAACCCTCCTTTGGGACTTAGTTAGGGTTGAAAGCTCTAAGGTCAGAAACCTTAATTAGTGGCTCTTTATTTCAGAAATGATGCTTTTCTTATCTCTAGAGAATTCTGTAAAGCTGTCAACACATTCTTCTAAAGCAGTAATGCTCAAAGTATATAGTCTCTAGACCAGTAGCATCACCTAGAAACTGGTTAGAGATGTGAATTATCAGAGACTCTGGGGATGGGGCCCTGCAATCTGCATGTGAACAAGCCCTCCAAGTGCTCTCTGTGTACAGTAAAATTTGTGTACTAATGCCCAGAGAAAATTTTCTTGCTTTTTCAAATTGTTTACAAATAAATGTTAGAGTAACTTCAGGCCATAGAACATAAGGACAGTGAGTGGCTCTAGTTGAGGGAAAAATGGCGTACTTTAGAATTCACCATTCCCTGGAACAGCTCCTGACATCTGGCTTGAAATCTTTAGCCTTTTTATTGATATGTACAAAGGCAGAAGTATAGTGTTATTTGCATTTTCATCATAAATATTATTAGGTGTTCAGATTCAAAACATAAAAAGTCTAAATGACTACACAGATGCTAAGAAGCCTTGGAAAGAGAAGATCCCTGGATCTGGCACAGTTGTTCCTAGTACTCACGTCTCACCAAGTAGGTATCTACTAGTTAGCAACTAATTGAATGGTTGAAACAAATACCTTAGGTACCAGGTCACTTAAAAAGAAAAACCAGATTCCCTGGCATCACCACCAAAAGCCAAAGGGAGCATAATTCTGTGGTAGAGCACTTCCCTTGCCTGCATAGCTAAACAAAACCCTGAAAAGTATATAAAAGCTCATCCAAATCTAACTGTCCCACAGAGAATCAACTCATGAAAATATATACCTGAAATATCAAATAACACTATTAAAAAGTACAAACTTATACCACTTATATGATCATTGACTAAATGATAATCAGTGGAACCACCACAGTAGAGGTCTCAGTGGGCTAAGGAACAAGCGTAAGTTTCCTGACAGGGATAATGCCTGCTATGAAGAAACAATAGGATTTGGAACAGCAAAAGGCTGATGGTGTTCATGTTGGACTATGGGGAAAAGACATTACCTCTACAGTTCTCTGGGATATGTATAAAAACCAGCTGTATTACATTTTTGCTACATTGCTAAACAGCATCACACTTTAATTTTTTTTTGAGACAGAGTCTGCCTGTGTTGCCTAAGCTGGCCCTGAACTCCTGGGTTCAAGTGATTCTCTGTTCTTGGCTTCCTTAGTAGCTTGGACTACAAGTGCATGCCACTGCATCCAGCTTCATATGATTTTAAAATCAAAAATGTACCTATGTTTTCTGTTTAGCTACTTAGTATTTTTGTTACATAGCCACAACTTCTGAGGATACGTCAGATACATGAATCTGCTATAACCAATAGGAAGCTCACTTCTCTGTGAGCAGGACAAGTGTCACACAGGCAAGGCATTTGACATGAGCTTGGTGCCATCCTGCAGGGCAGGATTTTTTTAATACCACCACCAAGAGAAAAGGTAAGTCCCCCAATTGTAAGTCAGTCCTTATGTTGTTTCTCTGAGTGAAAGAGAGAAAAAGACGTGACGAATAGTGTGGGGTCCCAGGGTGCAGAAGGAGCTCTTGTGTTGAATTTTGAGGCATAGCAATGCATGAAGCATAGGGCCAGAAAATGGCAATGGGAAACTTTCTTATTTTCAAAAAGAAAGGAAAGATGAATTTGGAAAGGGAAATGTAATATGGATGAGCTAGTACCTCTAGGTTCGTTGATAATTGATTGGCACCATATGCTCTAAGTGCTAAAGTAATGCCAACCTAAAGGATATTATGGAATAAGAAGCTCTGGAACTCTGGTTTTGGATGAAAACACAGATAAAGACCATTTCTTATTGATCTTTTCATCCCTCCCCAATGCTTAGAATATTCTTGGAACAGAACAGTCACTTGGAACATCTTTGTTGAATAAATAGTTGGTTGAAAGAATAAATAAACGAATAGACAAAGACATAGATGCCTTCTGTAGCAGATGTAAATGCTGGGCTTGAAAAAGCAAATATAAAACAGAATTAGCTGAAGTAGTGAAGTGTGCTTAAGTATGCACAATGACAAACTCAAGTGTGTCTCAGGAAAGAGCAAGGTCTCTGTCATTGGAAGTGTTTAAGCACAAGCTGGCCAACCACTTGAGAAGGAAATTGCATCATTTAGATTAGACAGGGTAAATATTACATAAAGGTGGTCTTACTAATCTACTAATTTTATATATTCTGACAATCCCCAGAAGTCTGAGCCCAACAGTGTTCCAAGAAAGAATATATAAGACTCAAAAGTGTTACCCAGTTGCTATTCCAGCCTAAGAAAAACACTGTAGATCAGAGATTCCAAACTCAGAGGTCATATATTTTTTAAGGTTCTGTGGAAGGCCCCTGGATCTGAACTTCCCAAAATAATATGTGAAGTTTTATGTATACACATATATGTTTTGTATTTTATTGATCCTCAGAGTGTCCCCTAAAAGCTATAAATAACCACCCTGAGTTTCTACAGCTATAAAGCATCAGACCTAAGAATTGGTGGCCAATCTGAGCCTATGTGAAAAACTTGACAAGGTTATTACATGTTTCTTCTGCCCCAGAGATATAGATTTTGTGTGTGACTACTTTTACACCTATTCTCTAAGCAGTAGCTTCAAGTGTGACAGAGAGCAGGCAAGAATGGAGAGAGGGAGGAGCTGCGCTGGCTCACTTCTCTGCAGTTCTCCAAATAGTCTACACCCAGCCAGCACTGACATCTAAGATTCTCCTTCCCCTCCCACTCTCTTCAGCCCTGTTACCACTGCTAACTGTTGCTATCTTTGTCTGTTTTCTGTTGCTATCACTGAATGCTAAAGGCCAATTTATATATCAAAAAAGGCTTAATTGGTTCAAAGTTCCATAGTCTGGGAAGTTCAAGATTGGGTAACTGCATCTGGTGAGGGCTCCTTGCTGATGAGAACTTTCTGAAGTATCCCAAGTGATGTATATCATCATGCAGCAAAGTGGAAAATCCTAACTTAATTCATTCCTCCTCTCATAAAGTAACAGTCCAGTTCTTTCCCCCTTTTATTATAAGACCACAGTCCCATTGGATCAAGGTTCCACCTCTATGTCTTCATTCACTCTTTTACCACCAAGAATAGTCCACCTCAAATACCACATTCTGATTACATTTCCACCTTTTTAATATCTTGTAATAGGGATTAAACTCAACAGTTTAGTGAAGACATTCAAACCTTAACAGTACAACACTAGGGAGGCTGAGGCAGAAGAATTGCAAGTTTGAAGACATGGTCACTGAAGCTGGCCTGCACTATATAGACCTTGTGTCAAAAAAACAAATAAAGGGCCCAGGGAGATAGCTCAGTAGAATAAGCACTTGCCTGGCAAGCACAAGGGCCTGAATTCAATCCCTGGTCTGACCAAAAAAAGAAAAAAGAAACAAAAAACCAACTGTCTACATTGGGCTCAGACAAGGTTTATCAGGTCCACCCAGTAAGGAGCCCTCCCAAAAGGAATTTAACCAAAGGCTTGAAATATAAAAAAGAACCCAGGTTTATCTTACCTCCAAGGCACATCAGTGCTCAGCCACAGAATCCTTGGCTCTGTAGTCAAACATCCATCAGGCTCAGAGTGCAAGTGGGGGCCACAGCTCACCCGGTCTCAGTCCAAGTTGCCTGGAGTAGTTATAGTCTCTGTTCCCGAAGAGACCACTTCCTGGAAACTCCTTTCCTTCTCAGGGTATTTGAAGCTACACTGTCTCCCCTCAGTATTTTTGCAGTCTGGGATCTCAGTTAGTGAAGAAGATGGGAGAGAGGGAGAAGGGTACTAGAGATGAGGGATTTCCTCTTTAAAGACATGGTCATTGACAAATCATATAACTCTCTTATTCAACAGGAGGATCAGAACATCATTTTAGTTTGTTATTACTTGAGCTCCCTCATCCTCAATAAAAAAAAATGCAAGAACCTTTCTAAAGCACTCTTCATGAAGGCCCTAGGGCAAGTGCAAATACTCAAATGTTTCCTTTACCCTCAACAGTTTCTCCCTATCGCTCCCTGCATGCATAGGCTGCATTTCCCTTTCTGCAACTCTTTCAGTCAACTCTGTTCTTTATTGTTTGCAATGGAGCCAAAGACATGCATATAATATGTTCCTCAGGCCCTGGAGTCAGACCAACTTCATATTTTCTTTGGTTTGTGGTGCCAGGAGTGGAAACCTAGGATCTTGCACATACTATGCAAAAGCTCTCACTGAGCTAAAATCAGATTCCTTAATTTCACAATGAAAAATTCATTAACTTAATGAGTTTTTATTGAGCACTTATAATATCTTTAGAGGTTTAAAAAGTGAATAAGACAGTAGTTCTTCTCCTTGTGATATTCTTTATTCAGGAATGCAGACATAAATCAGCAAATCTACAGATTCCAATAGTGCTGTAAAGAAAGTATACTTTTCTAGTAGAGTGTATATGGGAGAGTTAATCACAGAGATGTACTCCTATAGTCCTAGCTACTCAGGTGGAAAGGATGGGGGATTACTTGAGTCCAAAAGTTCTGTACCAGCCTGAACAGCATAGCAAAAGCACATTTCAAAAAAATTGAATATGGGGAAGCAATGATCTACTTAGGGAATGATCTGCTCAGGAATGAT